TGTATATCTATATATATGTATATGTGTATATCTATATATATGTATATATGTGTATATCTATATATATGTATATATGTGTATATCTATATATATGTGTGTATATATATATGTGTGTGTGTGTATATACATAGACTGTCCACACTGACCTGTTGATGCTCCACACAGGCAGGAGGAGGCCCAGCACATTGATGAGGAGCTCTTCAGTGAGTACGGCTTCAGCGTGGACCAGCTGATGGAGCTGGCTGGACTCAGCTGTGCCACGGCCATCGCCAGGGTGAGACGTCAATCAGGGCTCTTATTTTGAAATATTAAATAAACCAGGTTTGCAGTATATGGATGTGTCTAAATGAGAGTACTCACTAGAAGCATTTCTCTTCAGACGTTGCTGTAAATAATATCCTCTTTTCCTTGTCCAATACCAGTTGTGGAGGATTGATATGTTCTGTTTTTTTTTCGTTCTCCGACAGGCTTATCCAATCACCTCCCTGGTCAAGGCCATACCTTCTCTGCTGGTGATTTGTGGGCCTGGTAACAACGGAGGCGACGGTCTGGTCTGTGCACGACATCTTAAACTCTTTGTGAGTGGCCTTCACTTGAGTGACAGTAAGATACTCTGTAGCAGTGGTGGAAATTAACAAAGTGCAGTTCCTCAAGAACCTTTGAGTTATTGTGTTAATATTTTAGGGTATTTTATACTTCTACTCCAGTACAGTTAAATAACAGTGATAGCTACTAGTTATTTTGCATAAGTTGCAGATGGTTTTTTAAACAAAACATACGATAAGCTTCTAAAATGTGCGTTTTTGAGTGGAAAGAATTCCCCCTCTTGCGGCACAGACTGTCAGACCCCTGCTGCAGTACAATTAGAGTTTTTTAAAGGGACTCTGGTGCTCGGAAACACTACCGGTTTTGTCCACAGGGACCGCCAAAATCAACACAAAATTAAAGTTCCTGGTAGTAGCTTTAAAACAGACTGATTGGATGGATTCAATCCTTTGGCAAAATTCTGACTTCAGGCGGTTAAGTTGTGCTTGAACACCATGTAAGGACAGTCAAATCCTTTGTGGCAGCTTTGAACCAATCAGCATTGGATTTTTACAAACCCGTATATGCGGGGTGGTAAATAACTTTTTCAAACTATGAAAACAAATCTTTCCTCCTGCAGGGTTACGAGCCCACCGTCCTGTACCCGAAGAGGCCAAACAAGCCTCTGTTCCAGGGCCTGACCACGCAGTGCCAGAAAATGGAGATCCCCTTCCTGACTGAGATGCCTGAGGTTTGTTTGCCGTTAAATCAATAATGCAGCAGCAGTGCTATCCACAGGGGGGCGAAGACAATTCCTCCTGCTCATTGTGTTCATGAGTGTGCATTTTATATCACGCTATGCGGCTACTCTATTACACATCGTTAGCTGTAGCTAAATGAGGCTGCAGTTTCGAGTAGAGGAAGCCTTATTGCTCCCTGTGGGGGAATTAGGGTTGGAGATTGCATCGCAACGGACAACGCAGTCAATTATATTCTTGGTAACTAATGATGCAGAGTCATTTACTTATGTTTCCACAGTTACACATCTGCAACATAAGTAAAATAGAAAACAATTAAAAAAAACATGAATTCTCAGGCTGCAGTGATCGACGAGGCTTACAACCTGGTGATAGACGCCATCTTCGGCTTCAGCTTCAAGGGGGCGGTGCGAGAGCCTTTTGGTTCCATCCTGGACGTGCTGAAGAAGACGACCGCCCCCGTCGCCAGCATCGACATCCCCTCAGGTCAGTCCTCACTCACTGCAGAATATGGATTTTCCACTAAAGAGTTTCTAGTTAATTATATTAAAATACATTACAGGACGTAATTGTAGTTAGCAGTGGTGGAAAGGGTTTGATTTTATATGATCATTCATATGTGTGTGACCAATGTAGAATATATATGTACTGGATTTTGACATCCTGTTTGTTTTGTTGTTCATACTTTTTTAAGGTTGGGATGTGGAGCAGGGCAGCGCAGATGGACTGCAGCCCGACATGCTCATCTCTCTCACTGCTCCCAAGAAGTCTGCCAGCTTGTTCAGGGGACGGTACCACTTCCTGGGAGGCCGGTTTGTGCCACCGGGCCTGGAGAGGAAGTACCAGCTCAACCTGCCTCAGTACCCGGGCCTGGATTGTGTGTTACAACTGTAGGGGACGATGCACTGAGGGGTCAATGGGAGGAAGAGTGTCGTCTATAAACACTGTGGGGGAAATAATTCTCATCCACTTTTTTCGATCGATACCGCTCTGGCGGCTATCGCATAGCTTAGCATAAAGACTGGAAACGGGTGTAAATGGCTAGCCTGGCTCTGGAAGCGTACCAGAACTTCTAAAGCTCACAAGTTAACACGTAGCTTGTTTGCTTTTATTTATATGCAAACAGAAATGTAAAAATGACTGTTTGTAGTTGCACATGTTCCTTCATGATTTCCACTAACTGCAGCTCTGTAGTAAACGCACTGACATGAGAGTGGTATCAGTCTATCAGTCTAACCTTTGGAAATAAATCAAATAAATGTTGGGAATTTGATCGGTTCATATTGAGTGTATGGTGAGCTTTATGAACTCTCTGGAGAATTGTTTTGTTCAAAGCACAAAGCTTTAACGCGGTGGTTGCTTCAGCTACATGATATTAAAAACAAACAAAAAGGTGATTGGCGGTTGTCTGCGTTATTATTTCTGTAACAGAAGCCGTCCATTTCAACCCTCTGAAGAAAAAAAGACTTCTGCATCACGTGTACTTTTTTCAGTTTTTATTAGTACATCGTAAGATTCCATTGAATGTACAACTAGCAACTGGAAACTATCGTAGTCCATCACATTCTGTTTATATTTTATTAAATTTCCATACATGTTGTGTGTGTCGCATTATTTATACATGAGGTGCCGATGATTTAGTATAAAGCTTTCTTCGACAATCATCCTCGCGGAGTCCAAGAGATGCCCATAGTACCACTGACGTTTGATATAAATGTGTGACTACATATACTTAAAGAAATACTGTATGGACAGTATATGCTGTTGACAATGTGGCTCATTAATGCAGAATGGGTTTCTCGAAATAAGTGCAGAACATGCATTTGTGGCGCAGAAGACTATATACAGTGCTGGTACCATGCTCTCTTTATATCCATGTGTGAGTTTTGTCAAGGAAAAGGGAAAATAGAGGCTTGATATGAAGTTGTCTACATGCAGGTCAGAGGGTGGAAGGATGTTTTCAGTCCATGCAAGAAGCCTGAAGATAAAGACAACATACATTAATGGATTTAATGGCACTGATTCAAAACCACTGTGTTTCCAGGAAATCCAGATCATTAATAAACACTAGAACCTCTGAAATAAAGATCAAAAGCTGGGTATTCACTTTAAAGTACTAGCTCAGAATCAAGAGATATGGTGAAATATAAGACAGATATCATCAATTTATTTAACTTCTAATCTAGTCAAGAGATCTCTTCAGATATATTCACTGTACGGTCAATCTGAAGCTGAGCCCAGCAACGTCTTAGCTTAGCTTAGCATAAAGGCTGCAAACGGAGTGAACATTTAGCCTGGCTCTGTCCAAATGTAAATTCTGCCTAGCATCACGCCAAAGTTCACAAATTAACACGTTAGATCTTGTTTGCTTTATGTGTTAAAATACAGAGGTGTCAAAATTAAACAGTCTAGTTTTACACTCGGCACAAATAGCAAATGAGCGTATGTCCAACATCGTCTATACTGTCTAAAATAGGCAAAATTATTAGTTAAATCACAAAACTGTTGAACTGATTGAAGAAAAAGTAAGTGGGTTTGATACCCAGCTCTAGAAAGAATTGGACTCAGTGCATCTGGGAATAATACTGCTGACATGCACTTTCACAAACATACCTGTGCTATTCTCCGACCTGCACCCCTGCACAGTTATCTTTACCTTCCGAGGCTATCGCTAAATATTCAGCATTTCTAGGAGGAAAATGAGAAAAAACAATGTTGTGAAACAAGGTCAAACTTTTAATTTTAGCACAGTGAATTGGGTGAAAAATGCAAAAAACAAAAACATATCACAGCTATGACAGATTTTTGTTCCTTTTTTTGACTTACAGGAGGAAGGTTTTGGTTTTTACTAGGGAGGAGGATGACAGGATGGGACGGACAAGACGAAATCATGACAAATAGACAGAGGGAGCGTGAGACAAAGAGACATACAAGTGATAAGACACAAATTAGATGGAAACATTGATAATCTCCAAAATAAGTGCTGCTGGAAGATAACAGGTATAAAGTAGAGGAGAGGAACATGAACCAAAGAGAGGATGAAACAAGGTAAAAGTTTCAAATTAGAGGTGTGACTTCAGCAATACAGCATGAATAACATATGGCAGTATTCATGGGGAAATACACACTTTTCAAAGCATCATTTATTGTTATTTTGAACATATTAGCAAGTTATGGAGTTGGTTTTTAGAGTAAAGGCCCAGTCACACCACAAAGAAATATTTCCTTCAAAGCTTGCCGCTAAAAGGGGAGCTAACTGCTAACAAGCTGGCAAATCACTACTGCTAGTCACAAACAATAACTCATCAAGCTTTTTTCTATTTTTCGATCAATATTATTATTATTTTGTATTTCATTCACCGAAGTTATTGAAGTGGTGAAAAAAAAAAAAAAAACGTTCCCGCCAACAAGCTTGCTAACTGTCAGTTAAGCAAGCTGTCGGTTATCTCATTAGCTCACCCGCTAGCAGGACAATAAATTAACACGTACTCAAGAGACATATTTGTACCATCGACTCCTCGAAACTGTCAACAAACCATTACTCTTTCGTGGAATAGACGAGTAAAGTAAAGCTAGAGTGCTGCTTGGATGGGTTGTGGGCCAACCAGGAAGTTAGCATCGCACTGGTTCTCTTGTCAAAAAGCTGAAGATAGGCTGTAAAAGAACTACACCAGGGTTGCATGAGTGCACGTAATGATACTGTAAAGGTGTACTCAACAGCGTAATGACGTTTTGTTCTCATTTAGCCACTTGTTAGCCTCTGCCATTTTTAAGACACATAAAAGCTTTAAAAACGTTAAAATCGCTTAAGCTTGTGTTAACCACAGACCTTATTTCAGACAACTTACCAAAAACTCATTCAAAAAACCCATTGACGTTTAAGCATGTATTCCTACAGCACTCCGTTAAGCTAATACGGTAGCAAAACTTCCGCTCCGACCCTGTTCGCGCAAATTTTCCAAGTTAACGTCCACAAAATCAAAGTCTTCACGAAAAAAATGGAGGAGATTTACGTCGACGCTGAGAGTAAATCTACAGATCACGGTGGTTCTATTGGAATTAAGTGATTTTGGGGCCAACATGTCAGCGTCTTAAATGCTCATGTAGCCGGGTCTTACTCCAGTTGTGTGTTGTTTCAAGCTTTGCACGCTTTAGAGCCCGACCGATATATCAGTATCAGCATACACGCTGGCCAATAAGTAAGAATACTTTGCAGTATGGAAGTGCTTAAGACATATTTGAGGTCATTTAGAAACAGTGCTTCCATTACATAGTTAAGAGTAAACTGAAGCGCTCAATAGGCCTACCTTAGCTACAAATCTTTAAATGTAAGGTAGCCTTATCAAAAAAACATTTGCTTATGTTTTGTGTTTATGTCGTGATATATATCGTAACTGGATTTGTTTTTAGACTTTTAAATATCTATGCAGGCATTTGCCTTAAAAATCCAGCACTTTGTTTGGGCTCAACAACACACACACTTATATAATGTTATTTGGATAAAAACCTTGTACCTCCAAAGTGTCTGTTTTTCAAGAACTGACAATTGCATGGAAGGGTTTAGCTTGACCACAAATGTTTGGCTAAAGTCATTTGCATTACTCAAAGAAAGAATCGCCTCATCTATACCAAAATCAATTTTAAAAAAGCACTGTAAAATCCTTCAATAGAACTAAAATCGCCAAAACTGGAGTTATAATGTTTTCGCATGTTGTGAGTTTGATATGTGCACACAGATGTACGCAGTAAAAAAAACACTTACGCTGCTTCTCGTAATGCTTCTTCCCCGGCTGCTGCTATTTTCTTGTAGCAGTATATCATCTCTATGAGGAGCCAGACCTGCAGGCCAATGATGGTCACATACATCATGACCTCGGACACGATGGACGCCGTACCTCTGGTGGCTGCACACATGGAAGCCAGGAAATCAGACAAACACCGAAAAACTGAAATTCAGCCGTTATTCCCTAAAATTTCCAATGAACCAATGATGGTATTTCATTCCATAAGAGTAAGTCTGGATGGAGACACATTTTGTTGTCTGGCTAAAAAACTATATTCTTCCTGGTTTCTTATTGTTCAGGAGTCCCCTCTGGGATTTTGTACAGGCTGCCTGTGAATCATAGGCATCTGAAGCGGTTGGGTTTTAATCCTGAATCCATAACATACATATCATTTTTTTAAAAATCTCAAACTCCATAACTCACATTTTTAGTCATGCACTTCACTTCCCCTTACATTGACCGTTTATGGTGAAATCACATAATTTGCATCAAATTAAAAGGCACCATCACCTCGTTCCTCCGTAAATGGAGGTCTTATATGCTTCGCGCAGTTAACTAAGAATTTTTAGAGCATATGCTGACGGCATGATTTCATAGGGAAACTGCAAATAATATGACCAATGCGCTGAATGAGCAAAGCGTCTATCACTGTCAATGGGGGCGGGATGTTTCCTGCTTGTGGTGCAGAGACGGGAACGAGGGCATTGCACACAGATATCCTGGTGGTGATGCAATCTGCTCTCATATCGCAGACCAAACCGTCGTCCAGTAGAGTGCTGACAGCTGATGGCCTACCTTTAGCGACCACGGTGAGGTGGACCACCTTGCTGATGGTGGTGCTGTACTCGTAGTTGTCGTAGAAGAGGATGCGGTTGAAGAAGCATTGGTAGGTGCCCGAGTCGTTGAAGGTGACGTTGAGCAGGTATATGGACGCGTCTTGGATGTCGGGGCTCCTCTTACTTCCGTTCCAATCCACGCGATCCATGAAGTTGTCGCTCTCGATAGTTGGGCCCTCCTCGTTGTATGTGTAGATCTGGTGCCACAGAGACATCGGGGTTAGTCAGAAATGCTGCTGTGACATATAAATACATATATGAGGCCTTTGGGTATTGTAATGCACTATATATAATAGTTTTTCAGTGTAATTTCCTTACTTTCTTCTTTTGTTGTATTAATAATTTAAAATAGTTATTTAAGTCTATTTTTCATATACTTCTTAT